GAGCATTGCTCAGTGAGTGAATGAAGGAGAGGAGAGGCTGCAGAGGAGGTGAGTGTGGGGACTGCGAGAATGAATCTTATCCAGACCAGTAAAGCTGGGCAGAGAGAAGCCCAGCTGGAAAGCACCTTGTTGCTGGGCCAGGGAACCTCATCTGTTGCCTGTGATGAGAGCCCGAGGTTAGTGGCACAGTGCTCAGACTCCTAGGTGTGGGAGAGCACGGGGGTGGACCCCAGAGAGCCCTGGGTGGGCTTGTGAGAGATGCTGTGACCTGAGGTGCCAAGTATCCTAGGGTAGGAGCCAGAGGCTGGTCCAGATCCTGCTGACACCCACCCCACAAGTTCGTTTCCCAGTCTTCATGAAGGTGCATGGACTTGGGCTCCCTGCTTGGTCACGGCCCAGCACCTTGCCCTTGGGATTTTTGATTATGAAACTCATGAATCTGACAATGAGGTGGCCACCCATATTGGCTACCCAAAAGTGGGCAGATCCTGGGCAGTCTCTCTTGAATGCCAGCTGAGGGCTGACACTTCCCTGGACACTCTCAGCTTTGGGAAAACCAGGGAGTAGACAGGTGCATGGTTGAAGAACTCAGTGTTGAATGGAGTCCCACAATATTTTAGGGATCTGAAAGCACACTTTCCTGTGTGCTTGGCCTTTTGCCTTCCTGCCAACTAATACTTAGCACTAGAGAAAGTAGCCTTCACTGAAGCTGGACCTTGATGGGGGCTCAAAGTGCTGGGGAGAAGAGTTCTGATTTCATGAGGTGTCATGTACAAGTACCCATAAATTCAGAGAGCCCATAATATTGTTATGAGGTTGGAGGCTGTGAAGTCAGAATTTTTTGCTATGACTAAAATATCTGACAAGGACAATTTAGAGTAGATAAGAGTTATTTTGGCTCATGTTTTCAGATGGTCCAGAGAGTGGTCATCTGGTTCTAAGTTATCAATAAGATGGTGAAAGGTCATGACAGAGGTAAGGTGCTAAGCTCCAGGCAGCTGGATGCTAAACTCCAAGGGGTAGAATAAAGGCAAACCCCCCTAGGGCACGCCCTCAGTGACCTACTTCCTATTACTAGGTCCCACCTCCCAGAAGTTCGTTCAGCTATTAATGGTTTAGTCCACTGATAAGTCCAGAGACCTCATGAACCTAAAGTCCTACTCTAAACCTTGCTGTACTGGGGAGTATGCTTTCCACACATGAGCTTTTGGGGAACATTTCAGATTTAAATTTCACTATCCGCCAACACTCTCACCTCCAAAGGCTCCATTGATAGCTGAATGGACTACTGGGAGGTGGATCCTAGATGGAGGAAGTAGGTCACTGGGGGCGTGGTGGGAAGGGGTTTTAATCGCCCAGGCCAATCTTCGGTCCCAGTCTCTCTTCCTGACCCTCTTTCAGTTTACCGACTGCTTTGAATTCATCAGCATTCCTCTGCCACAAACTTCTACCTTGTTGTTTCTCCCTGGAGGCAGCTGACAAAGGACTGAACCTTAAAACCGTAAGCCAAAATAAATCTTTTCTTATCTAGTTGTTGTCAGGTATTTTTGTTACAAAATGAAAAACTGACTCACACAGAGGGGTGGTGAGGACTGTATATATCAGGGCTTTTTTAAAAAATATATTTTTTAGTTATAGCTGGACCCAATTTTATGGTATTCATTTATTTTTGTGATGCTGAGGATTGAACCCAGGGTCTTACATGTGTTACACCAGTTCTGAATCGCTGAGCCACAACCCCAGCTCTCTATCATAAGTCATTCTATTAAATTTCAAAACAACCATAGAAGGCTGGGTTCCAAGCAGGTGTTTCTGATCCTACAACTCCTCCCAGTGGTGGTGGCCTGCTTCTTTTTGGGCCAAGGTAAAGACACACACTTGAGCTGTCTCCTAAGGTCTATGGAGGCCAGAGATACCCACATGGATTCTGCTCTTGCTTCCAGGGCTGAAGGGAAGGCGTGTGTGAAGGTTTATCTGTTACTTGTGGAAACTGCAGACACAAGAAGTCTCCCCATGGCACCTCATCACATCCGCAAATACCAGGAGACTGACCACAAAAGGGTCCTGGACTTGTTTTCCAAAGGGATGATTGAGCATGTCCCTGCCACCTTTCGCCACATACTGAAGTTGCCACAAACATTCCTGTTCTTACTTGGGGTGCCTGTCACCCTACTCCTGGCCTCTGGCTCTTGGCTCCTGGCTCTTGGATCCGATGTCACCCTCCTTGTTTTCCTCTGGCTGCTGGCCAGACAGCCTTGGAGGCAGTACGTGGTCATGTGTTTGCAGACAGACCTTGCTGACATTACCAAATCCTACCTGAGGGCCCGTGATTCCTGCTTCTGGGTGGCTGAATCTGGGGGCCAGGTAGCAGGCATAGTGGGTGCTTTGCCAGTGGAGGATGTCCCCCCAGGGAGGAAGCAACTGCAGCTGTTTCACCTCTCTGTGGCCTTGGAGCACCGAGGTGAAGGACTAGGGAAAGCCCTGGTCATGACTGTCCTCCAGTTTGCGAGGGCTCAGGGCTTCAGTGAGGTTGTCCTTGATACTAGCATTGTACAGGAGGCTGCTCTGACTCTTTACCTGCGCATGGGCTTCCAGAAGACAGGAGAGTACTTCTTTTCTAAGGTCTTTAGACTACTGGGCATTTATATGATTCATTTAACTTACTTCTTCCCATCTGCACAGGAGGGAAGCCTGTGAGCTATTGCCTTGTGTACCAGTCAGGATCTGATTGACAATTCTGTAGCTTCTATTCCATTCAGTGCTTCTAGGTGACCGTGATTCAGGTGTCTAGCACCATAGTAATGCTGTATTAATAAAAAGCCAAACAATACTGTGCACACACATTGCTTATAAGTCTGTTGGCCAGTCGTTGTTCCTGGTCTGTGCTGAGCAGCTCTCTGGGTCTCAGGATACCTGTGGAGATATCCTGAATTGACTGCAGTGCCCACGACATGTATGTCATCTTGTCCCAGCAGGCCAGTTCAGGCAGGGTTCAAAGTCACTGAAGAGCAGCAAATGAAAAATGGGACAGGAACAAAGACTTTTCTCCATTTCCACACAGGTATTGGTTGTGGAAACATCTAGACTCCGGGGAGAAATGGAGCTGGCTCAGAAATGGAGGAGCTTCAGAGTCCAGGGCAAAGGGGCACGAAGTGGCTTTATGGGAAGAATTGGGCAGCAATGCACTCAATGTAGTGCCCTGTCCCTGAAGAGGGGTGGGAAGGTGGCTGTGGATGGAGGGGGATGTTCGATAGGGAGATCTGGGTATGGTGCAGTCCTCCTGGTGCTTCCAGGGCCCAATCCCATGGGCTAGGCTCACTAAGGGGAGGTTGTGGGTGGAGCCCTCTTGTGGGTCCTGGAGGAGGACCTGGACAGGTGGGTGTCCCAAAATTATCCTGGATTAGCACTCAGCCTGGTCCCAGACTCTGTCCCCAGGTGTTCACAAACTCCAGGTTTGAGCCTCAGGAATGATTCCCTCCTGTAGATGAGAGAGTTGGGACATGAGTCAGTGCTGATGTTCCGAGGACTGTCACCTTTTCCCAGCTGCTTGAGCTGTGACTCTGGCATGTTCCTGGGGTCCTGGAGTCACATACTTGGTCTCCCTCACCAAGAGGCAGAGCTCCTGACCAGAGAGTCCACGTGATACTGATCCATAAATTTCAGCCCCTTAGGCATTGTTAGGGGGTCTTTCTCACCTTAGTTTCTACTTCAGCACTGAGGGGACACCTGGGCTATAGTCTGTCCAGTTTTGGGATTCAGCCTTGGCCTTCGCCCATTTCACCTACACAGAAACCCTTAACCACGCTCATGGGATTTGTCCAAACTTGAGAGACAAGTTGTCTAGGACCAAAGGCCTCAACCTCCTGTCACGGTTTTTATCCTGCCCTTGGCCTTGATGACCAAACCTAGTAGCCTTGACTGGCCCATCCCGTTCCTTGAGGCTGTCTCATTTGTGCTTTGATGAAATCAACAATGTATGCACCTGTTCTTCTGACCCTCCCCACTTTTGTCATTCTGCCATTCACATCAGGTGTCTCTTGTCTCCTGAGCTGTGTTCTCACATTCTCACTAAAGTGGTCCCTCAAGGCAGGCCCTGTGTGACAGGGAGGAGGCCCTGCAGGCTCTCCCTGCTCTGGTGCCATCAGCTCTCCTTGCCCAACGAAGTCAGTGCCTAAAGGAGCAGTTCCCAGTGGAAGAGGACTAGGAAACAAAAGAAGAGGTCCTCAGTGGTCCCTGTGCTTTGAAAGTTCTTTCAATAGCAGGGAAACTCTGGACTCATCCCAGGCAGAGATGGTCACACCCTGCTAGGTCTCAAAGGCCAGAGGGAGAGGTGGCCTTTAAGGAAGGTGCCAGGATTGAAGGAAGGTGCCAGGATTGAAGTACTGTGATGATAAGGAGATGGAGGAGTCCAGAGTCCTGGGGAAGGCCGTCCCAACAATATGGAGGCTTCCCTAGGGGCTGAGAGACTCAGAGCCTAGAGTCAGCTTGCCTTCCTCTTTCCCTGCCCCTGACCTCAGTTTCCAAACAGCCAGCTGCTCTAATTAGCTCCAAAAGGAAGCTCTCATTCTGCTAGAGGTCTTTGAGCACAATGTGCCCTTGGCCTGGAACATTCTTAACCCTTCACACACCCATACCTCGGTTTGCTCAGTACCATTGCTTTCAGGCAATGGACAGGGTTGACTGGCTTGGAAAGGTAATTCTGACCAGGAAGGAAGACCTTTACCTGTTTGCATTCTGGCCCTCCTTGCTCCTAAAGGTGGTATCCCCAAACCAGCTTCCCTGTTCCCTGGATGCCTGTTGAAAACAAGAGTGGACAAAAGTCCCTCATGTCCTCAGAACCTGTGATTGTGCATTGGAGAGGCTTTTCCTGGTCAGGAGTGGGCTGAGGGGAATAGGGAGATGGAGCAGAGCCTCAGTGAGGCACTCTACAGGATAAGCAGGAAATACTGCCACAGGTCTGAGAGAAATGTGCAAATCCAAAAGAGATTGTGCAGTCAGCTCAGGGTGTGACTAGCATTATGGAGAAGGGACAATGGGAAGCAATGGCTGCTGGAGCATAAGGATCCTCTTGGACTCATGGGAATGTTTTGGATTTGATAATGATGGTGGTGGTAGAAAATCATGAGTGTTAAAAAATTTTGGAAACTTTTACACTCTTACATGGTTTAATTTTATTAGACTTCATGCAAAATAGTAAAAGAGTTTAGATGAGTGAAGACTCTCAAGAGGCAGATAACAATTAGAGGGAGCAATGATGTTAAGGGGTTTTCTTAGGGAGAGAGTGGCTATTGTGCATAATGTCAGTGGGTGCTGCCTCTTTGACCCCAGATTCTCATGTTAGGCAAAGGAGTCAGAGAGGTGAAGACAGACTAGATGTGGAACTAGTATTTGACCCCTGGTCTGTTTGACTCCAAAACCCATACTTCCATCCAAAGGCAGCCCTAGCTTTATAGCCAATCTAGTTATGGGGAACCCAAAGAATACACATTTACAGCCTCCCTGTGGGACAAAATATTGCAACTCCAAATAGGAATTCTAGGAAAGGCCATTGGAAGGGAAGAAGGGATTTTGAACATGAAGCTTAGTAATTAGACTCTAAATTTGTCTCTGGGTTGGATCCTCAATACCATAAAAACAAACTAAATAAAATAAAGGTATTGTATCCATCCAAAAATAAGAATTTTTTATAAAATGAACCCCACTATTATGTGTAATAATAATCCACTAAAAACACTTTTAAAAAAAAGATTCTGAGGAAGTGAGTGTTATACTAGATAACTCCCAGGGCTGGGTTGTTCCCTTGCCCTGTTCCCATACATAGGCTTCATTGACAGCCACTCACTGCCACAGGCAAGATCTTGATCATAGCAGTTTGCATCTAGGCCACACACATGCCCCTTATTGATTCATGCAGACATGACCTGCAGCAAATGTCCACTTGGAAATGCCCACACTGGTAATAACTGCCCTGCCTTCACTCCAAACCTGCACCTGTCTTCATCTCCCTGTCTCCATCAACTAGCTGAGAAAAAATGTATACACATGGCACCAGGGAAGCAAGGTCAGCCAAGGTCTGAGCAGACATGCTGTTTGTGCCACTTTGGAGGCCTTGGGAAGCTCCCAATCCTATAATTCGGTGGTGGGGGGTCCCTTGGATTTTGGCTGTAACCTCCCATCCAGAGAACTGAAGCTCAGGGTTGGACTGAAAGGAGGAAAAAAGGACAAACACTGCAATCTGCTCTCTTTGACAGAATGTGAATGTGCTTAATGTCTCTGAACTGGGAAACTAAAAATGCTAACAATGGTAAATTGAATGCTCCCTACATTCTACACTGATCAGAAGAGGAACTGATTTTCACATGTTAATGACCCCCACATCTCACTGTGGATGCTGTTGTCATAATCTAAGCTGCCAACTCTAAATGACCATGCATATGGAGAGACTGGGAACATGGACAGTCTCTAAACCTCTTGTCTTTCACTTTGACTTAGGTTTCTGACTGGTTGATATCACAGACTCTCACTATAAGCATTCAGCGCAACCTGGAATCTTCTGCTCTATTCTTCTGAGTCTTAAACTTTGGCTTAGTATATAAGTACTTAAAGTCTAAGTGTTTAAAAGATACTGAAAAGAATGTAACCAGGAGCCATGCACTCACTGTCCCCATGGAAATTGTTCACCTCAAGTTCTGACCACAAGTCAAACATCTGGAAAAATCAATAGCTTTCACTGGGGGACCTTGGTGCCAGCTGACAGCCCCAGCATCTACTTTTCCATGAGGATGTGGCAGGCAACACCCACAGGCAACTACTGATCTTTTTTCTATGACTGCCTACTGCCTAGTGTCCTCTTAGACCCTCTTACTATAATCCTGGTGGTCATTTATCACCCCTTCCTCCTGCTCATCCCATTTTGAATCATTCCTTGTCGAGCCATTTCTGTGTCCCCCACCCACCCACCAAATGTACGACCCAAGTGGCCCAGGTCTCACTCTCTTGTTCACATCAATGTGGTCTAGGCCACCACTATGTCTCCTGGGCCTCTGTGTTCAGATGTCTCCTTATTTAACACCAACCAAACCTCCCTATTCAAGCCACACAGATGGAGGGTAGTGGGCAAAGCAAGGCCTTCAAGCAAGTTAGAAATAAACTCCTCTCCTTGGCCAGACTCAGTTCTAAATCTGGGCTCTGGACTTGGCAATATTGGCATGCTGGATTTAGTTCACACTAGTCAAAATCAAAGGCTTTGGGATTTTGTGAGCAACTTGCACACCTGTACCTGGGGACCTGTTTCTATCTCAGAGGATGCACTTGATTCTTGGGGGGAAGATGCTACCATTTCTACCTCTCTGGATATATTTTCCACATACAACCCAAGAGAAACATACTCCAGCACACACACAAGGCACATGTGGATGGATCATTTTGCACCCAAGCTAAGAGCATACATATGGCTGGATCCTCCTGAAGTACAGTCCATGCTGCATCACCTGTTTGTGGGCCTGCATGCCCAGGTCCCTGTGGCCCTCAGCCACTTTCTCCTGGGCAGGCAGGTCTCCATGTCTCCCTGAGAGCTTTGCCTTTGTTTTTCCTCAGGACCTCACCTCTGTACCCTCAGTTTGAGAACCTCCAGTGTTGGTCTGTGTAGACCCACTTGCTTTGAGCTATGACCCAAGATTCTTCCTTGAGAACCTGCATTATCCTCTGTCCCACCCATGTGCCTCCACCTCCCAGTCCCTGTCACAGATGTTTGGCCACACATGTCCCCCAGAACCCATGCCCTTGAGCTATGTCTTCAATATAAGAGCCCACAGTAGCCACATCTCTGC